CTGATTCCTTAGATTGTCAGAAGGTTACGTAAAACAATTGTTTGCTGTTGTAAATTTCCATTCTGAGTCTATAAATATAATTTACAATGACTCAGTATCCAAAAATTGGCGATAATTTGTAACAATTAACAATATAAAGATGAGATCAAATGACTTCTTTTGTCCAGTCCTTTTTTATTTTTGGCTCAATTTCACACAGAAGCCAACAATGGAGTCACTGGTTTCAACACTTATATGGCAGAGTAACACAGATTGGTAGACTTAGATTAATTTGGTCAACACTTATCAAACAGTAATAATATACACAACAATTATTAAATTAGTGAATTATTAATAACAGTCTGTTAACCAGTTTCAAGTTTCAACGTCAACAACAAGTTAAAAGCTAACTTAACCGAAAAAATTACGCTATGATGAAGAAGCAAGAAAAATGTGTGAGCAAGAGTGAGATTAAAAACAAGATTTAGTACTTTGTTTCCTCAAAGGTAGCCCCCAGACCCTAGTTGAATAAATAACATAATGCGATCATAATGCCACCTTTACAATCGATACAAAACTATATTATTGCGCGGCTTTTTTGTATTAATATTAAGGTGGTGGTTTTTGCATTGATTTATAATTTATTTATGAAAATAATTAGGTTCAAACCATAACTTACCTAATGAAATCGAATTTTCACACTGCCTGGATATAAAACAAAAACCACAAAAACATTAAAAAGAGAAGGAAAAAACAAAAGCAACCACAAATACGTAACATGATGAAAGTACTAATGTTAAACTAATTAAACTGTACTGAGTACTGAGACATTAATCCATTCTTGTAACACTGGCGCATCATCAGAATTATACATAATTAGGAAAATTACATAGTAACACAACTAATTGAGACGAAAATCTTAGCCTCAATAACATGCGGGTTTAAATTAAATAAAATAGATAGCCTTCATAATCAAGATATATAAAGATACAATCAATAATCATTTATGGCAATAATGTAACCAAAGTACAACCTTCAGTAAACTGTAATTTAACTCAAATATGATAACAACCTAATTAAGCAAACAAATCTACAATTTATCTAAAGTTCAAAGATTATTCAATATCATCTCTTTTACTAAACTTACAAATTACATCTTCAAACGTGTTTAAAATGATTGGTAAATTAAATAAAAGACCTAAAACAATAATGATTTTAGCTAAGGTGATGTAAAGGTGGTGGTTTTTGTAATTGATGACGAAAGGTCAATTTTTGCATTGATTTATAAAGATTTGACCGACTATGGAAATTAATCAATTAAATGCATAATTGGATCTCTCTGGATAACAAGATCTACTTTCTATACATTCTATAATATAAGAGTTTATATAATGTATAATTTTAGATTTAAATATACATTCTATAATGCCTGATATTATAGAATGTATGATATCACACTGATAGAATGTATAATGTAACTATCATATATATAATGATTTAATAAGTTAAATAAATATAAATAATTATTGTTCAATTAATTTATTAATTGAATCCAACATATTGTGCATATGAGCAATTGGATTTATGGGTGATACAGAAATAATATTAGATTTAATCTCAGGATTAAAACTCTCAAGCTTACTCCTTATACGGAATTGATACTTTTTAAATAATATGGTTTCAACAATTGAATCAATCTTTGATTCTTCATTAGATGTAGCAGATATAATCTCATCAATACTCATGCCGATAAGCTTTTCAGCTTCTTCAGTAAATGCAGAAACCCACACAGATTTAGTTGCATCTGCAATACATAGTTTGATAATAATCCGATCTTCCCCTTTTATAATTTTTTTGTTGCATTTCCCGCATCTGTAATAACCATCCTCTAGTTCGATTAACTTTTTTTTACAAGATCCTAAGCAAGACATATAAGAAACTGTTTTCCCAATTTGTATAACAGTTGCAATACAATTAATAATTAACATCGAATTTGTACTAATTGCAACATTCGATCTTGTAATTGCATCCAAATTGACTAGTGTGGTATCATTATTTCGACCAAACGCCATTGTTAAACTTTCACTTTTGAGTTGTCGACCCGCAGCAGCAAACCATTTAGTAAGTTCATCAGCTTCAGAATTTTTAGGATTAACATCTACAACAGTTGAAGCAATTGTTGTCAAACTTCTACCTCCAAAATTAGTTAAACGAGCCTTTTTAACAATAACAATAGAACCAGTTTCACCATTAAAATTTTCAGCATCTTTGTTCCATAAAGTAAAATTAATTTCCATTTTGGAGTCGTCAACCAAGGAAATATCTCGTTTTTTTAAATCTTTCCCAAATTTTGTTGAACTAACAGTTGCCAAATTACCAGCATTTTTACATACACCAATAACATCAACCACAGATTCTAAATCCATATTCTGCAGATTACTAATCTTAACAAAATCAAATTGAATTTTAGGACATCCAGTATCATTGTTGTTATCCAATTTAATTATACTGCCAGGATGTAAGACCAATTCAAAGTCATGCTTGGTATCAGAATATTTCTTGTTGCTTTCTTTAACAGTGCAATTTCCAACAAAATAAATCTTTCCAAAATGTACGATGTCAAAATATTTGTCACACTCTCCACGAAATGCTGTTATTTTTATGTCGCAAGATTCATCAGTCAAATTAAATGTAAATAATTTGCCAGATCCATTACTATTATTCCAAGTTTTAATAGCACTTTTATGTGTTACTCTGCCACGAATAGTCCAATTCTTTATGTACTGATTAATTGAAGAAATGGGAACAGCCATCTGACCTGTGTCTCTGCGTTCTTGTGTATCATCTAACCCATGTTTAGAATTACCAGCCTCTAATAAATCCAGCGCACTGATATTTGATTTTTTGCCATATTCCAATGAAACTGGACCACCAATGATTTCATTAACAGAAGAACCAGAAACCATGAGCTTAGCACCTGTTACAACTATTATGACATTATCACAATTATTAGTTTCCATCAATTTATAAGTACTAAGACTTAAAACAGCAAATTTTGTGAAGATCTCGTCTTCAAAACTTTGTACTAATGAACCAAGAACTGCACAATATTTGTAAGAAACACTTCCATCGGACAATATTATTTTATAACGCTTGACACCATGTGCAGAAACATTTTCAACACCTAATAGTTGCAAAATGGGTTCCATGATGGATGAATTTGTTCCAGTAGATAAATTTGAATTATCGCATAATATTCTTTTAAGAGCACCTGCACTTAGCTCAGGTTTATCCATGCTGTCAACAAATAGAATTTAAATTAAACTATTACTAAATTAAATTACTGAAAACTTTGCACGAAGAGATACAAGAGTGTGGCAAGTTGAGATTTAATTGACATTAAATAAAGTAACAATGCTTATTACACAGAGCATGATCATTTACCTCACATTATAATTGTTAGAATGTATTTACATATGTTCTATCATACATTCTAAAATACATTATAATAACCTCTAGATGGATAAATTGTGCCCACTGAGAATGTCTTGGGTGAAACACTAAACAATCTTCTTCTCTTTCCGACAAAATGCTTATCATTGTCATTCTTATTAAACTAAATTAACAATTTTACAATTACATTCTATAATCTTTAGAATGTATTTTACAACATGTATAATTTATTTACACCATATAATATACTTATTTACATATCTTCTAAAATACATTCTAACCATTATAGAATGTAAATGTAAAATACTAGACTTATACATAATAGCAATAAATGAGAAAATGATAGATTGTTAATACGGAGTTATGGTTGTACACGTTAACATTTAATATAAATTAAATCCATCTTAACAAATTACATATTTAATTCCAATCAATGTCACCCACTAAATCATTAGCAGGATTATCTAAATAGAAATTCATATCAAAAAATTGTGAATATTCAGTACATTTAAGGCTTTGATTAGAATTAGATTTAATTTTGTTGTGGTCATTTTCTGAATTTATACCTAGTGAATTTCCAAGCATATCACACCAATTGAACCAATTACGATGATTAAAAATATGATTTATATCCTGAAACCACTGTATGCTTTGGAATCCTTTCTTTACTGCGATAATTGACCTTCGAACACGTTCACCATGATTAATATATAGTTGCTTTGACCAATTATATACTTCTACAGCCACACGTAATCGTAAACGGTAAATATAAAGTTCGCTAGCTGAAGATTCCATACCTTTAACAATAAAATCAGGAACCATATATATAAATTCAACGTACATTTTGCCTTCGAACAAACTGCCACCAATACAAAGACTTTTGTTTTTCAATTTTTCCAAATCTTTCATCTAGAATAAATAAATATTAGAAAATCATTTAGATCTTAAATTGTACATACATACCTTCATTTGTAGATATCTTTGTTCCACTTTTTCATAATATTTGAAGTATAAAGTCAAATACTTGATGGACCCAAAAACCTTTAAACGAAAGTAATTGTATTTTTTACCATCTTCACGATAGACATGATTTTGTATTAATTTGCCAAACAAGCATATGCTTTCATATTTATCAGCCTCGTAAAGCTCAGTAACATTTATGGGAACATGTATGCCTCTTACAAAATATTGTTGTCTCCGGCTAAATATATCAACCTGAAATAACAATGATGCATAAATAATTGAATTGTAAATATAAATGAAAAACACTAAACCTTTTTGTCAAGATTTACTTTGTCCACAATTTTTTGTTGATTAACATCCTGTGGATCTTTATCCGGAATATGAACAGATTCTATTGAACAGAACAGAAATAAAACGAAAATATTTAACTTAAATTTAAAATAAATAAAAAAAACCAAAAGTACCTTCTTTCGTTTTAGCTTCATCACCATACTTAACACCAGAGTCTAAAAAATACAAACATTATGTAGATTAGATATACATTCTATAATATTTTATACACATAGTACCTTCTTTCATTGTAGCTTCAACATCGTAAAAACCAGAGTCTAAAAAATACAAATATTCTTTAGATTAGATATACATTCTATACATAAAACTATACATATACAGAGAATTATCATTAACAATATGTACCATTACCGTTTTTATTGTCCTCGCTTTCAAGACCATCTTCGGATCCTTCATTTTCTATGGACACAATACCTTCTTTCGTTGTAGCTTCATCACCATCGTTAAAACCAGAGTCTAAAAAACACAAACATTATGGAATTAGCTATACATTCTACAACATAAATGATTATACAGAAATTATCATTAACAATATGTACCATTACGGTTTTTATTGTCCTCGCTTCCAAGACCATGTCCCGGGTCCTTCATTTCTTATGAACACAGTACTTTCTTTCGTTGTAACTCCATCACCAGCTTTAACACCAGAGTCTAAAAATACAAACATTATATGGGATTAGATATACATTCTA